CCAGGGGGGGTGCACCCCGGCCCCCCCCGCACCCCCCCCGCCTCAAGTGGCAGTCGCTGGAGCGGCGCATCTTCGACATCGTCATGCAGAGGATGACCATTGTCAACCTGGAGGCTGACATGGAGCGTCTCATCAAGGTGACCGTGGTGCTGGGGACAGAGAGGGCTGGCTGGCAGGTGTGGGGCACGGGGACAGTCATGCCGACAGTGCCGATCCCCTTTGCTTTTCCCCCAGAAACGCGAGGAGCTGGCGCTGCTGCAGGAGGCGCTGCTGGGCAAGAGGGCGAAGCTGCAGGCGGAGAGCCCCAAGGAGCAGAAGGGGCTGCAGGAGCTGAACGAGGAGATTGAGGTGCTGGGGGCCAACATTGACTACATCAACGACAGCATTTCCGACTGCCAGGCCACCATCATGCAGATCGAGGAGACCAAGGTGGGTGGCTGGAGCAGTCCCGCTGGCAGGGAGCGAGCAGGAGATCCCTGGGAGGAGGCGAGGGTGTCCCGGGTACGGCCAGCCCAGGTGGCCCAGAGTCCTCTGAGCTGGGTCACGCTCGCTGGGGCTGTGCCCACACACACACTTCTCGTTAGGGCGTTAATTGTGGGGGGACCCCTGTCAGGTCCTTGCAGGGCTGTGGACAGGCTGCTCGGGGAACCCACCGGGCGGCGGGCACTTTTACTTCCATGTGTTGGCATCCCGGGAGGGCAAGTTTTTTTCCAGCAGGTTTTGTGTCCAGTTGTGGCAGCGGTGCCGCAGGGACACTGTGCAGCTCCTGGCTCCCCTCTAGTGGCCGCAGCCCGGGCTAGAGGCTCTGCCCTGTCTCTGGCTTGTCCCTGCTTGTCCCCTCCCGTGGTGGAGAAGAAGGGGCAGTTGTTAATTCACACCAACCTTTGGGCTGGTGACCTGATCTGCTGTGGGTTTGGGTGAGGTCGGTGTCTGCAGATTAGCGTCTGATTAAGTGTTGGCACCAGGATTTCTATAGCAATGCGGAAGCCCTTCAGGTTGCGTTGGCCGTCTCCACGGTCCAGTAGCCCCTTGGGCAAACTGGGGAGAGCGAGCATCGGGGCTGGGCAGTGCTGGCAGGGTGCTGGGGGGGCTGTGCCGGCCACCGAGCCCCTTCTGCTGGTTCCATGCCCTGCGGCAAAGCTCCCCCAAATGTCGTGCCCTTCCCAGGAGGAGCTGGACTCCACGGACACCTCGGTGGTGATCAGCTCTTGCTCCCTGGCTGAAGCTCGGCTCTTGCTGGACAACTTCTTGAAGGCCTCCATCGACAAGGTGCAGGGCCAAGTTGGGACCTGGGTGCCTGAGGGGATTTCTTGCAGCTGAGGAGGGGAGCAGGGTGCCGGGGTGGGGACCTGGTTGAAGGGATCTGAGGGACCCGCGTGAGGCCCAACATGGGGAGGTTTCCCCAGGGGAGGTTTAGGTTGGATGTTAGGAGGAACTTCTTCACTGAGAGGGTTGTCAGGCACTCAAACAGGCTGCCCGGGGAGGTGGCTGTGTCACCATGCCTGAAATTGTTTAAGAGATGTGTAAATGTCATGCTTAGAGACATGGTTTAGCACCTGACTTGGTAGGGCTGGGTTGATAGTTGCACTCAAACCCAAAACTGCTCCATGGTTCTCTGGCTATCCATCTCCAGGGGCTGCAGGTGGCGCAGAAGGAGGCGCAGATCCGCTTGCTGGAGGGGCGGCTGCGGCAGACGGACGTGACGGCTTCCTCGCAGAACCACGCCATCCTGGATGCCCTGCGGGAGAAGGCCGAGTCACACCCCGAGCTGCAAGCCCTGATCCACAACGTCCAGCAAGGTGAGACCTGGGGCTGGCGCATCCTCGGGCCGGGCGCGCTGCCTGTGGGGTGAGGCAAGAAACCCCCCAAGAAACACTTGGGGGTGCCATGGGTGGGACTACTGCAGCCACGGCCACCCCGAGGGTGATGCTGGATGGGGACACGTGCTCTGGCCGCCACAGCAGGGACGAGAACCGGGGCCCTCCACCGACCGAC